GCATGCATGGTTAGTGTATGGGCTCAAGAGCATGCTGGCCTGTGCTCAGATGCAAAACCCAGGTGTGTGGGAAGTTATGGTATCTCGAGCGTTTTCGCATGTCCAAGGTCTTGAGTGGTACCCCACCAAACAACAACCTGGTTTTTCATTTAGGATCTTGTTCACTAAAACTCTTTCCCCTTGCATACATAGCTAGTGTATGGCCTCAAGAGCATCATGGCTTGTGCTCAAATCCAAAATCCAAGTGGTTGGGAAGTTTTAGTATGTCAACTATTGTCCCATGACTAAGCACTTGAGCATTGCCCAACAAAACCTCAACTTTTCATTTTGTTTTTCAGATACAAAGAATTTTCTAAGCCCTTGTTTTGCATGAACAGTTAGTGCATGGGCTCAAGATCATCATGGCTTGTGCTCAGATCCAAAACCTAAGTGTGCAAAATGTAATGGTATTGTATGTGTTCCTTTTTCCAGTCCTTGAGCATTTTCCTACGAGACCTCAACTTGGTTATCTTGCTATTGAGCGTGCTCAAACATCTTGCTTCTTGCATGCATGCTTAGTGTATGGGCTCAAGAGCATGCTGGCCTGTGCTCGGATGCAAAACCCAGGTGTGTGGGAAGTTATGGTATCTCGAGCATTTTCGCATGTCCAAGTTCTTGAGTGGTACCCCACCAAACAACAACCTGTTTTTTCATTTAGGATCTTGTTCACTAAAACTCTTTCCCTTTGCATACATAGCTAGTGTATGGCCTCAAGAGCATCATGGCTTGTGCTCAGATCCAAAATCCAAGTGGTTGGGAAGTTATAGTATGTCAACTATTGTCCCACAACTAAACACTTGAGCATTGCCCAACAAAACCTCAACTTTTCATTTTGTTTTTCAGATACAAAGCATTTTCTAAGCCCTTGTTTTGCATGAACAGTTAGTGCATGGGCTCAAGATAATCATGGCTTGTGCTCAGATCCAAAACCTAAGTGTGCAAAAAGTAATGGTATTGTATGTGTTCCTTTTTCCAGTTCTTGAGCATTTTCCTACGAGACCTCGACTTGGTTATCTTGCTATTGAGCGTGCTCAAACTTCTTGCTTTTTGCATGCATGGTTAGTGTATGGGCTCAAGAGCATGCTGGCCTGTGCTCGGATGCAAAACCCAGGTGTGTGGGAAGTTAGGGTATCTCGAGCGTTTTCGCATGTCCAAGTTCTTGAGTGGTACCCCACCAAACAGCAACCTGTTTTTTAATTTAGGATCTTGTTTGCTTAGCTTAGCTTAGCTTCGTGTTCGCTTCGCTTAGGCTTGCTTCACTTTGCTTAGCTTCGCTTCGCTTCGCTAAACTTCTCTTAGCTTCGCTTCGCTTCGCTTCGCTTCGCTTAGCTTTGCTTTGCTTCGCTTAGCTTCGCTTCGCTTCGCTTCTCTTCGCTTCTCTTTGCTTCGCTTCCCTTAGCTTTGCTTCGGTTCCCTTAGCTTAGCTTAGCTTCGCTTCGCTTCGCATACCTGCGCTTAGCTTCGCTTTGATTCTCTTAGCTTCGCTTCTCTTTGCTTCGCTTCTCTATGCTTCTCTTCGCTTCGCTTCGCCTCGCTTAGCTTCTCTTAGCTTCGCTTCGCTTCGCTTAGCTTTGCTTTGTTTCGCTTAGCTTTGCATCGTTTCACTTCGCTTCTAATAGCTTCGCTTCACTTCGCATAGCTTCGCTTTGCTTTTCTTCGCTTCTCTTCGCTTCGCTTTGCTTAGCTTCGCTTAGCTTTGCTTTGCTTCGCTTTGCTTCGCTTTGCTTCGCTTAGCTTCGCTTCGCTTCGCGTAGCTTTGCTTAGATTCGCTTCGCTTAGCTTTGCTTAGCTTTGCTTTGCTTCGCGTAGCTTCGCTTCGCTTCGCCTATCTTCGCTTCTTTGCGCTTCTCTTCGATTTGCTTTGCTTAGCTTCGCTTCGCTTCGCTTAGCCTCGCTTTGCTTCCCTTTGCTTCGCTTCGCTTCGCTTAGCCTCGCTTAGCTTTGCTTCGCTTAGCTTTGCTTCGCTTCGCTTAGCTTTGCTTCGCTTCGCTTCTCTTTGCTTCTCTTCACTTCTCTTCACTTCTCTTCCCTTAGCTTCGCTTAGCTTCGCTTCGCTTTGCTTCCCTTCGCTTCGCTCCCCTTAGCTTCCCTTAGCTTTGCTTCGCTTCGCTTCGATTAGCTTCGCTTCGCTTCGCTAAGCTTCCTGTTTGCTTCACATCACTTAGCTTCGCTTAGCTTTGCATAGCTGCGGTTAGCTTCGCTTAGCTTCGCTTCGCTTCGCTTACCTTCGGTTCGCTTCGCTTACCTTCGCTTTGCTTTGCTTACCTTCCCTTTGCTTCCCTTAGCTTCCCTTCGCTTCGCTTAGCTTCGCTTAGCTTCTCTTAGCTTCGCTTCGCTTCTCTTAGCTTCGCTTAGCTTCGCTTCGCTTCGCTTCGCTTCGCTTTTCTTTGCTTCGCTTCGCTTCACTTAGCTTTGCTTCGTTTCACTATGCTTCGCTTAGCTTCGCTTCGCTTTGCTTAGCTTTGCTTTGCTTCCCTTAGCTTCGGTTCGCTTCCCTTAGCTTCGCTTCGCTTCGCATACCTGCGCTTAGCTTCGCTTTGATTCTCTTAGCTTTGCTTCACTTCGCTACGCTTCTCTACGCTTCTCTTCGCTTCGCTTCGCTTTGCTTAGCTTCGCTTTGCTTCACTTAGCTTCGCTTCGCTTCGATTCGCTTCTCTTCGCTTCTCTTCGCTTCGCTTGGCTTCGCTTCGCTTCCCTTAGCTTTGGTCCCCTTCCCTTAGCTTCGCTTAGCTTCGCTTCGCTTCTCATAGCTGCGCTTAGCTTTGCTTTGGTTCTCTTAGCTTCGCTTCTCTTCGCTTTGCTTCTCCTTGCTTCTCTTTGCTTCGCTTCGCTTAGCTTCGCTTAGCTTCGCTTAGCTTCGCTTAGCTTCGCTTAGCTTCGCTTCGCTTAGCTTCGCTTTGCTTCGCTTCGCTTAGCTTCGCTTTACTTCACTTCGCTTAGCTTCGCTTCGCTTCGCTTCGCTTCGCTTCTCTTCGCTTCGCTTCGCTTCTCTTAGCTTCGCTTAGCTTCGCCTTGCTTCGCTTTATTTCTCTTTGCTTCGCTTAGCTTCGCTTTGCTTCGCTTCGCTTCTCTTTGCTTCTCTTTGCTTTGCTTCGCCTAGCTTCGCTTAGCTTCGCTTCGCTTCCCTTAGCTTCGCTTCGCTTAGCTTTGCTTTGCTTCGCTTCCCTTAGCTTCGCTTCACTTTGCTTAGCATCGCTTAGCTTTGCTTCGCTTCTCTTCGCTTTTCTTCGCTTCTCTTCACTTCCCTTAGCTTCGCTTTGCTTCGCTCCGCTTTGCTTCCCTTAGCTTCGCTTCGCTTAGCTTCACTTCGCTTCGCTTCGCTTCGCGTCGCTTTGCTTCGATTAGCTTCGCTTAGCTTCCTATTTGCTTCGCTTCGCTTAGCTTCTTGTTCGCTTCGCTTAGCCTCGCTTCGCTCCGCTTAGCCTCGCTTCGCTTAGCTTCGCTTCGCTTCGCTTCGCTTCGCTTCGCTTAGCTCCGCTTAGCTTCGCTTCGCTTCGCTTACCTTCCCTTCCCTTCGCTTACCTTCACTTCGCTTCGCTTAGTTACGCTTCGCTTCGCTTAGCTTCGCTTAGCTTCGCTTAGCTTCGCTTAGCTTCTCTTAGCTTCGCTTCGCTTCTCTTAGCTTCGCTTAGCTTCGCTTTTCTTCGCTTCGCTTCGCTCCGCTTCACTTTGCTGCCCTTAGCTTTGGTTCTCTTCCCTTAGCTTCGCTTCTCTTAGCTTCGCTTTCCTTCGCATTCCTGCGCTTAGCATCGCGTTGATTCTCTTAGCTTCGCTTCTCTTTGCTTCGCTTCTCTATGCTTCTCTTCGCTTCGCTTCGCTTCAATTAGCTTCGCTTCGCTTCTCTTCGCTTTTCTTCGCTTCGCTTTACTTCGCTTGGCTTCGCTTAGCTTCGCATCGCTTCGCTTCCCTTAGCTTTGGTTCACTTCCCTTAGCTTCGCTTAGCTTCGCTTCGCTTAGCTTCGCTTCGCTTCGCTTAGCTTCGCTTGGCTTCGCTTTGCTTTACTTCGCTTAGCTTTGCTTCGCTTCTCTTCTCTTCGCTTCGCTTCCCTTAGCTTCGCTTAGCTTCGCCTTGCTTCGCTTTGCTTCTCTTAGCTTCGCTAAGCTTCGCTTTGCTTCGCTTAGCTTTGCTTCGCTTCTCTTTGCTTCTCTTAGCTTCGCTTCGCCTAGCTTCGCCTATCTTTGCTTAGCTTCGATTAGCTTCGCTTCGCTTAGCTTCGCTTCACTTAGCTTCGCTTAGCTTCTCTTTGCTTCGCTTCGCTTAGCTTCGCTTTGCTTAGCTTCGCTTAGCTTTGCTTTGCTTCACTTCGCTTAGCTTTGCTTCGCTTCTCTTTTCTTCGCTTCGCTTCCCTTAGCTTCGCTTAGCTTCGCCTTGCTTCGCTTTGCTTCTCTTAGCTTTGCTAAGCTTCGCTTTGCTTCGCTTAGCTTTGCTTTGCTTCGCTTAGCTTTGCTTCGCTTCTCTTTGCTTCTCTTTGCTTCGCTTCGCCTAGCTTCGCCTAGCTTTGCTTAGCTTCTCTTAGCTTCGCTTTGCTTAGCTTCGCTTCGCTTCGCTTAGCTTCGAATAGCTTCGCTTGGCTTTGCTTCGCTTCGCTTCGCTTGGCTTCGCTTGGCTTCTCTTCGCTACTCTTCGCTTAGCTTCGCTTAGCTTCGCTTAACTTCGCGTTGCTTCACTTAGCTTCGCTATGCTTAGCTTCGCTTCGCTTCGCTTAGCTTTGCTTAGCTTCGTTTAGCTTCGCTTGGCTTTGCTTCGCTTCTCTTCGCTTAGCTTCGCTTAGCTTTGCTTAGCTTTGTTAGGATTAAGGACGGAGTCTAGGTGAACTTAGGAGCTAGAATTACTCAAAATATAAATCCGAAATTCTGGACAGAAAAGTCGTCCTCACAAGAAACGACGTCGACAAAAATCTAGCCGTTGGAATGTCGCGAAACTTGGATATGTTGTAGCTCTTAAGCTCAGCTACCGTTCCCAATTCGAACCACGTTGATTAATGAAGTATTCGCGACGCTATGGCTTTCGACGCACTAGGGGGTAAGCTGTAGGAGGAGAACTTAACTCAATCTCAAAAGTTTAATCAAAGTTCAAGAATCTCACAAGGAATTAGAGGAGCAAGAGAAAGGTTGGGATAGAAAGAGAGGGATGAGAGGGAAGGTCCCAAGAGAGTCCCCAACCAAGGAAACCCCATTATCACAAAGATTCCCCCCCTATAGGAACCCCAACTTTGACATTTGTCCCTTCCCAACCAATCCATCCAAGTTGGCCACCCTTGCCAACCTAGCTTGGTTGTTCCCAACCAATTTGCAGCTGTTACAGTAGAGTGACAAATTTCCCCAACCCCCAAGGTCCCAACTCCATATAAAGTCACCCCACAACTTCACTTTGTAACCGCCGCAATTGTAACGCAAGCTCATGAACTTTGAATCTTCATAGCTTTCGCGTTCTTGCTCCGATTGAAGCGATTCTTGTTGCGTCGGAAAGATCTTCTCAAGATCTATCATCACAAATACCTGCTCAGACAGAATAACACAAAACACATTCCCAAACTCCAGAACACACCACACACAAATTCTTTCACACAGAGTCAAACCATACATACGAATTGAAACAAGAGATGGGAGGCAGACAGAATGTGATAGCATATGATGACATCACACAACAATCTCCCTCTCTGGCTGCCAACCATCATCCACCATACCAACATCTCAAGCATGCATACTCAATGCACACTCATCCCAGCAAGCTTCATGCCCTTCCAATGATCCGCCTCCGCCAGACGCTTAGTGAAAATATCTGCTGCCTGCTGATGGGTCTTCACTATCTCTAGCCGCACCTCCTTATCAAGGAGTCTCCTCACCCAATGCCACTTAGGCCTTATGTCTTTTGTTAGCCCATGCAGACAAGCATTCTTGGCTAGCTTCACTGCAGACTCATTGTTACAGAACACAACTGTCGGCTCCTCCTGACCAACTCCCAACTCCTCCAACAAGCGCCTCAGCCACACCACTTCCTTGACCCAATGGTGTAAGGCCATGTACTCAGTCTCACATGAGGACAATCCCACCTCATTCTGCTTCTTGCTGCGCCAGCTCACAGCACCACCTCCTAGCAAGCACACATAACCCCCAATGCTGGTGCCATCCGCTTTCACTGAGTTGAAGCTAGCGTCAGTATAGCAACTCAAGAGCATCTCTCCACTCTTCACATCTGCAGCACCTCTCTGCAACCGCTGCCTCACTCCACTGTACTCCAATCCCACTGATGCCGTAGCACTCACATAGCGGACCAACCTCTTGGCCGCTTCCAGCTGCTCATGACTAGGGCGTGAGACCACACTAGCCAACCGTGATGTAGCAAATGCAATGTCAGGCCGTGTATGATTTGCAGCATAGTTCAGTGACCCAACCATCGAATGAGACAGCTTCCTGTCACTCTCACCCACTACCTCCTCATCAGCACATGGCTCCACAGTAAACCCTAAAGGTAGTGGTGTTGCTGGCTTTCCCCCATCTTGCAGCCCATACTTCTCAGCCAGCCCCTCACAGTACTTCCTTTGGTGCAACCTCAGCACACCCTTTTCCACATCTCTCTCCACATGCATCCCCAAGTAGTACTTCACCTCACCCATCTTGGAGCACTTGAACTGCATCTCCAGCATCTGCTCTGCGCTGTCCAGCAAAGCAGTTGATGCAGAGAAGAGAAGGATATCATTCACGTACACCAGGAGCATGAGGATTTCATCCTTCTCCTGCAGCAGGAACAGGCTGGGGTCACACTCACTCTTCTTAAAACCCCCAGCCAGCAGCGCCTCCTCCAACTTGTGATACCATGCACGAGGCGCCTGCTTAAGGCCATAGATGGCCTTCTTCAGCCTGCAGACCCTGCCGCTCCCGTCATCCAGCCCCTCTGGCTGCTTCATGTACACCTCCTCCATAATGATCCCATTCAGAAAGGCAGTCACAATATGCATCTGCCGAATCTTCCATCCCAGGAGTGCAGCTATCGCCAACAGCACCCTCAGTGTTGTTCCTTTCCCCACAGGAGCAAACACCTCATCATAGTCCTTCCCCTTTGTCTGCTGAAACCCCCGTGCCACAAGCCTAGACTTGTAGCGGATCAGCTCCCCTTCAGGTCCATACTTGTGCCTGTAGATCATCTTGGAAGTGATTGCCTTCTTTCCAGGAGGCAAGTCACACAGGTCCCATGTCTCGTTCTCAATTAGGGACCCGAACTCCTCATCCTCACTCGCCTTCCACTTCTCCCCATTTGGTCCATTCAAAGCCTCCTCTCGAGTCTTGGGCTCAGGGATTGGTGCCCAGTAGCAGTGAGCGATCTCATCTTCCTCAATCTGCTCAACCACACTCCCAGCCTGCACCACATTCGGCTTGCCTCTTCCCCCATAGGTCAGCCTCACCGGAGGGCGCACATCCCTCCTAGGTTGCTCAGGCGGGTGTGGAACGCGAGGTGGAGACTCATGTTGTTGCTGCTGCTGCTCCACTTCAGCTGCTCCCCCTTCTTCAGTCACCCCAGACATCTCCTCCTCAGACACTGCAACCTCCACTTGCCTTGAAGGCTGCTACAACTCATCTGCCTCCACAATGAGTGGTGTAGATGGAAGCTTTTGTTGCTGCTGCTTCCATTCCTTGTAGTACAGGGACTCAAGAAACTTCACATCCCTTGACACTGTTAGCTTCTGGGTGGTCAAGTCCCATAGCAGCCATCCCTTGTGATCCTTTGCAATCCCTAAGTGCACACCCCATCTTCCAGAAGCCTCCAACTTCCCCCTTTTCTCCTTAGGCACATGAAACACCACCATGCACCCAAATGCCCTCAGCATGTTCACAGCTGGAGCACTCCCATACCACTTGGTATATGGGATCCACTCCTTCTCCCCAACTGTAGCCAGCACCCTATTCTTCACAAGGGTGACCTGCCTCAGTGCAGACACCCAAAACGGATCAGGCAGCCCTGCACGCCCAAGGAGAGTGCGTGCCCCCTCCTGCAGGGTCCTTTTGAACCTCTCAGCCACGCCATTCTGCTGCGGGTTGTAGGGCACTGTCAGTTGATGCTGGATCCCCTTCCTCTTCAACTCCCCCTCAAAATCAGCTCCAATGAACTCCCCACCATTGTCACTGCGGATCACCTTCACCTTGTGTCCGCATTCCCTCTGAGCTCTAGGCATCCACTCCTTAAGGACAGCCGCTGCCACCTCCTCCTTGCTCTTCAAAGGGTAAACCCACACTGCCCGAGTGTGGTCATCCACAATTGTCAAGAAATAGCGGCTGCCTGAGAGGGAAAGGGCTCTTGTGGGCCCCACCACATCCATGTGCACAAGTGCAAGTGGGATCTTGGCTGGTCCTGTAGTGCTGTTGAAGGGGAACTTGGAGAACTTGGTCTCCAAGCATGTAGGGCAGCTCCCAATCTCCTTCACTCCCCCTTTCACCTCCAAGCCTTTCAGGCTCCCATCCTTCACCAACTTCTGCAGCATAGGGAAGTTCACATGACACAGCCTCTCATGCCATGTCTCCCAATTGGCCCCACCACTCCTAGATGAAGCCTTGGCCCATGCCGCGCTCGCATCCACACCAGCAAGCACCTCGCCAAGTGTCTGCTGCTGCTGCACATTCTTGACTGCTTCCAGGACCCCATCAGTTGGTGCAGTTGCATCTCCTCCTTCTGTTGCCTTTGCCGCTGCTGCCGTTGCTGCTGTTGGAGTCTTCCTATTCCAAGGGATGATGGGCAGCTGCCACAGATCCTTGATGCAGCTGCTCTCCTCTTCCAGACTCCACAGCACCTTCTTCCCAAGCTTAGCACGGCAGCTGGTTCGTCCAAAGGTCACTTCGGCCTTGCTCTTCTGCAGTCGTCGCACAGAGAGAAGGTTAGCAGACAAACCTTCAACCAGCAGAACATTCCCAAGCCCCACAAGTTCCCCATTAGCTCCCTTAACCTTGGCATTCCCAACACCAATGACAGGGAGCAAAGCACCTGACACTGCTGCCACATACTTAATCTTCCCAGGGGGTTTTACCTCATCAAGCAAATCTGCCCGTGGGGTCATGTGACTGGTGCAACCTGAATCAATCACCCAGTGCGTGAGAGGGTGCATCACAACCTTTCCCACAGATCCCACATCACCCTCATGCCTATGCACATCCTCAACCATGAGAAACATCCCAGAATAGGTATTACCTTGTGCACCTTCACCTTGTGCACCTGAGCCTTGCACAGCGCCACCTTGTGCGCGTTCACCACTGGGCGGCTTCATGCCTGGAGGTGCCCATCCCTCCGGCCTGCTGAAGCACTTAAACCAAGGATGCCCGACCTTCTTGCAGTACCAGCAGGTGCCCTCCATTCTGGTACTCCCCTTGCCACTAGAGCTCCCATGCCCCTCATTATAGTCACCTCGGCCACTACCTCTGCCAAAGCTCCTCCCACGGCCTCGGCCTCTCCAACCCCCTCTTCCTCTGCCGCGCCCTGCAGCTCCATACCCCTCAGCAGTCTTAGTGGAAGCACCACCTCCCACATGGCGTCTGCGGAAGTCCTCCTGCAGAATCTGCTGCCTTAGCCACTCAGGTGTCCATTGATCTTGCTGAGAGTTGAGGGTGGGGATGAGGTTGTCCCAAGAGTTGTCCAACACCGAGATGATCTTGGTGCACTGCTGCAGCTGAGATACACTGCTGCCCGCTGCTGCCATCCTTGCATAGGTGTCCTTGATCTTGTCAAGGACCGGCTTCACATCGTCCCCTGGTCGCATGGAGATGGCAGCAAGTTCCTTCTCGAGCACGATCACCATCGGAAGAGTGTTGGGCTGAATCACATCGCGTAGTAGTTTCCACGCCCTTGGACCCGAATCATCCGCTTCCACAAGATCCTTGATGTGCTCGAACATCTCCTTGTTGACCGATTGAAGGATGAGGTCGAAAAGCACCGCGCTTTTCTCAATCCACCGTTCGCGTGCTTCGCCTTCTTCCGGCATCTTCTCTTTCCCAACAGCAATCTTCAGGAGCTTGTAGCGTTTGAAGGCACTCCTCATCCGACCGCTCCTTTCCTCATAATTGGAGCCATCCAAAGCTTCAACTTTTGATGGCGGCGGCTCACTTGTCTTTTCAGGTACAGCTCCTCTCCCATTAGCATCTCCTCCTCTCTCATTCATCTTCTCCTTGAGAAATGACGAGTTTCAGCTCCCCTTTGCTGTCCACACTCAGCTCCCTCGATATTTTCACAAGTATCGGCGTCCACGAAATTTCGACAGAGTTTCCCCTTAGCGGAAGACACATCCAACCTTTAGAACACCACTTAGGCACACCCACAGGCCATGGTGGGTCTAGAAGGGTCTTCAAAACTTCTGTAGACTCCTCTCAATGTCCTTAATATCGCTCTGATACCACTTGTTAGGATTAAGGACGGAGTCTAGGTGAACTTAGGAGCTAGAATTACTCAAAATATAAATCCGAAATTCTATCATCACAAATACCTGCTCAGACAGAATAACACAAAACACATTCCCAAACTCCAGAACACACCACACACAAATTCTTTCACACAGAGTCAAACCATACATACGAATTGAAACAAAAGATGGGAGGCAGACAGAATGTGATAGCATATGATGACATCACACAACAAGCTTCGCTTCGCTTCGCTTTGCTTCGCTTAGCTTCGCTTAGATTCGCTTTGCTTCACCTAGCTTCGCTATGCTTAGCTTCGCTTCGCTTCGCTTAGCTTCGTTTAGCTTCGCTTGGCTTTGCTTCGCTTCTCTTCGCTTAGCTTCGCTTCGCTTCGCTTCGCTTCGCTTTGCTTCGCTTAGATTCGCTTCGCTTCGCTTCGCTTAGCTTTCTTTGCTTCGGTTTGCTTCCATTAGCTTCACTTCGCTTCGCTTAGCTTCGCTTAGCTTCGCTTCGCTTCGCATAGCTGCGCTTAGCTTCGTTTTGCTTCTCTTAGCTTCGCTTCTCTTGCTACGCTTCTCTTTGCTTCTCTTCGCTTAGCTTCGCTTTGCTTCGCTTAGCTTCGGTTAGATTCGCTTAGCTTCGCTTCGCTTAGCTTCCCTTAACGTTGCTTTGCTTCGCTTAGCTTCGCTTTGCTTAGCTTCGCTTCGCTTCTTTTCGCTCGCTTAGCTTCACTTGGATTCGCTTAGCTTTGCTTCGCTTTGCTGAGCTTCGCTTTCCTTAGCTTCTGTTCGCTTCTCCTAGTTTTGCTTAGCCTTGCTTCGCTTCGCATAGCTGCGTTTAGCTTAGCTTCGCTTCGCTTCCCTTAGCTTTACTTCGCTTCCCTTAGCTTTGCTTGGCTTCGCATAGCTGCGCTTAGATTCGCTTAGCTTCGCTTCGCTTAGCTTCGCTTAGCTTCGCATCGCTTCGCTAAGCTTCGGTTCGCTTCGCTTTGCTTCGCTTAGCTTCGCTTCCCTTAGCTTCAGTTCGCTTAGCTTTGCTTTGCTTCGCTTCACTTCGCTTCCCTTTGCTTCGCATAGCTGCGCTTAGCTTCGATTTTCTACTCTTAGCTTCGCTTCTCTTCGCTACGCTTCTCTTTGCTTCTCTTCGCTTTGCTTCGCTTAGCTTCGCTTAGCTTCGCTTAGCTTCGCTTAGCTTCGCTTAGCTTCGCTTAGCTTCGCTTAGCTTCGCTTAGCTTCGCTTAGCTTCGCTTAGCTTCGCTTAGCTTCGCTTAGCTTCGCTTAGCTTCGCTTTGCTTCGCTTAGCTTCGCTTAGATTCGCTTAACTTCGCTTCGCTTGGCTTAGCTTCCTTTCGCTTCGCTTAGCTTTGCTTCGCTATGCTTCCCTTAACTTTGCTTTGCTTCGCTTTGCTTAGCTTCGCTTAGCTTCGCATAGCTTCGCTTCGCTTCTCTTCGCTTAGCTTCGCGTAGCTTTGCTTCGCTTCGCTTAGCTTCGCTTAGATTCGCTTCGTTCGCATTGCTTTGCTTTGCTTCGCTTAGCTTCGCTTCGCTTCGCTTTCCTTAGCTTCCGTTCGCTTCTCTTAGCTTCGCTTAGCCTTGCTTCGCTTCGCATAGCTGCGCTTAGCTTAGCGTCCCTTAGCTTCAGTTCGCTTCCCTTAGCTTCACTTCGCTTCGCTTAGCTTTGCTTCGCTTCGCATAGCTGCGCTAAGCTTTGCTTCTCTTCGCTTCGCTTCTCTTTGCTTCTGTTCGCTTGGCTTCGCTTCACTTAGCTTTGATTCGCTTAGCTTCGCTTAGATTGCTTCGCATCGCTTAGCTTTGCTTAGATTCGCTTAGCTTCACTTCGCTTAGCTTAGATTCGCATTGCTTCGCTCGCTTAGATTCGCTTAGCTTCACTTCGCTTAGCTTAGATTCACTTTGCTTTGCTTCGCTTAGCTTCGCTTAGCTTCGCTGTGCTTCTCTTAGCTTTGCTTCTCTATGCTTTTCTTCGCTTCGCTTCGCTTCGCTTAGCTTCGCTTTGCTTCACTTAGCTTCGCTTCGCTTGTCTTCGCTTCTCTTCGCTTCGCTTAGCTTCGATTTGCTTCGCTTCACTTAGCTTTGCTTTGCTTCCCTTAGCTTCAGTTCGCTTCCCTTAGCTTCGCTTAGCTTTGCTTAGCTTCGCTTCGCTTCGCATAGCTGCGCTTAGCTTTGCTTAGCTTTGATTCGCTTAGCTTCGCTTAGATTGCTTTGCATCGCTTAGTTTCGCTTAGATTCGCTTACCTTCACTTCGCTTAGCTTAGATTTGCGTTGCTTCGCTCGCTTAGATTCGCTTAGCTTCGCTTAGCTTCACTTCGCTAAGCTTAGATTCTCTTTGCTTTGCTTCGCTTAGCTTCGCTGTGCTTCTCTTAGCTTCGCTTCTCTATGCTTTTCTTCGCTTCGCTTCGCTTCGCTTAGCTTCGCTTTGCTTCACTTAGCTTCCCTTCGCTTGTCTTCGCTTCTCTTCGCTTTGCTTAGCTTCGATTTGCTTCGCTTCCCTTAGCTTCGCTTAGCTTTGCTTAGCTTCGCTTTGCTTCGCATAGCTGCGCTTAGCTTTGCTTTGCTTCAATTAGCTTCGCTTCTCTTCGCTTCGCTTCTCTATTCTTCTCTTTGCTTCGCTTCGCCTAGCTTTGCTTAGCTTCGCCTTGCTTCGCTTAGATTCGCTTTGCTTCGCTTCCCTTAGCTTCGCTTCACTTCACTTAGCTTCACTTAGCTTTGCTTCGCTTCTCTTCGCTTCTCTTCGCTTCGCTTCGCTTCCCTTAGCTTTGCTTAGCTTCGCCTTGCTTCACTTAGCTTCGCTTCGCTTCGCTTCCCTTCTCTTAGCTTCGCTTAGCTTCGCTTTGCTTGGCTTCGCTTCGCTTCGCTTCGCTTTGCATAGCTTCGTTTAGCTTCGCTTGGCTTTGTTTCGCTTCTCTTCGCTTAGCCTCGCTTGGCTTCGCTTCGCTTCTCTTCCCTTCGCTTCGCTTAGCATCGCTTAGCTTCGCTTCGCTTTGCTATGCTTCGCTTAGCTTTGCTTCGCTTTGCTTAGCTTCGCTAAACTTCGCTTTGCTTTGCTTAGCTTCGCTTTGCTTTGCTTCGCTTAGCTTCGTTTAGCTTCGCTTGGCTTTGCTTCGCTTCGCTTCGCTTGGCTTCGCTTGGCTTCTCTTCGCTTCTCTTTGCTTAGCTTCGCTTAGCTTCGCTTAACTTCGCGTTGCTTCACTTAGCTTCGCTATGCTTAGCTTCGCTTCGCTTCGCTTAGCTTTGCTTAGCTTCGTTTAGCTTTGCTTGGCTTTGCTTCGCTTCTCTTCGCTTAGCTTCGCTTAGCTTTGCTAAACCTTGCTTCGCTTCGCCTTGCTTCGCTTAGCTTCGCTTAGATTCGCTTTGCTTCACCTAGCTTCGCTATGCTTAGCTTCGCTTCTCTTCGCTTAGCTTCACTTCGCTTCGCTTAGTTTCGTTTAGCTTCGCTTGGCTTTGCTTCGCTCTTCTTCGCTTAGCTTCGCTTAGCTTTGCTTAGCTTCACTTCGCTTCGCTTTGCTTCGCTTAGGTTCGCTTAGATTCGCTTCGCTTTGCTTCGCTTCGCTTAGCTTCCCTTAGCTTTCTTTGCTTCGGTTTGCTTCCATTAGCTTCACTTCGCTTCGCTTAGCTTCGCTTCGCTTCGCATCGCTGCGCTTAGCTTCGTTTTGCTTCTCTTAGCTTCGCTTCTCTCGCTACGCTTCTCTTTGCTTCTCTTCGCTTAGCTTCGCTTTGCTTCGCTTAGCTTCGCTTAGATTCGCTTAGCTTTGCTTCGCTTAGCTTCCCTTAACGTTGCTTTGCTTCGCTTAGCTTCGCTTTGCTTAGCTTCGCTTCGCTTCTTTTCGCTTAGCTTCGCTTAGCTTTGCTTAGATTCGCTTAACTTCGTTTAGCTTTGCTTCGCTTCGCTTTCCTTAGCTTCTGTTCGCTTCTCCTAGCTTCGCTTAGCTTTGCTTCGCTTCGCATAGCTGCGCTTAGATTCGCTTAGCTTCGCTTCGCTTAGGTTCGCTTAGCTTCGATTAGCTTCGCTTCGCTTCGCTTTGCTTCCCTTAGCTTCAGTTCGCTTAGCTTCACTTTGCTTTGCTTCCCTTCGCTTCGCTTCGCTTCGCATAGCTGCGCTTAGCTTCGTTTTTCTTCTCTTAGCTTCGCTTCTCTTCGCTACGCGTCTCTTTGCTTCTCTTCGCTTTGCTTCGCTTAGCTTCGCTTAGCTTCGCTTCGCTTCGCTTCGCTTAGCTTCGCTTAGCTTCGCTTAGATTCGCTTAACTTCGCTTCGCTTCGCTCAGCTTTCTTTCGCTTCGCTTAGCTTTGCTTCGCTTAGCTTCCCTTACCTTTGCTTTGCTTCGCTTTGCTTAGCTTCGCTTAGCTTCGCATCGCTTTGCTTCGCTTCTCTTCGCTTAGCTTCGCTTAGCTTCGCTTTGCTTCGGCTTAGCTTCGTTTAGATTCGCTTAGCTTCGCTTCGCTTCGCATTGCTTTGCTTTGCTTCGCTTAGCTTCGCTTCGCTTCGCTTTCCTTAGCTTCCGTTCGCTTCTCTTAGCTTTGCTTTGCCTTGCTTTGCTTCGCATAGCTGCGCTTAGCTTAGCCTCCCTTAGCTTCAGTTCGCTTCCCTTAGCTTCACTTCGCTTCGCTTAGCTTTGCTTCGCTTCGCATAGCTGCGCTTAGCTTCGCTTCTCTTCGCTTCGCTTCTCTTTGCTACTGTTTGCTCTGCTTCGCTTCGCTTAGCTTTGCTTCGCTTAGCATCGCTTAGATTGCTTCGCTTCGCTTAGCTTCGCTTAGATTCGCTTAGCTTCACTTCGCTTAGCTTAGATTCGCTTTGCTTCGCTCGCTTAGATTCGCTTAGCTTCGCTTAGCTTCACTTCGCTTAGCTTAGATTCGCTTTGCTTTGCTTCGCTTTCGCTTCGCTGTGCTTCTCTTAGCTTCGCTTCTCTATGCTTCTATTCGCTTC